AACAGCATAGTGAGGAGGTTGCTAAGAGATATAAGGCTCTTACCTATCTTCAATCAGCAGTTTCGTAGACGATCTTTGTGAAGATTATGAATTATGAAGATCCAAAGCTAGTGTGGGATAGTTTGAAAGAGGAATATCAAGGCAGTGACAAAACTAGAGCTATGCGGGTGTTGAACATTTCCAGAGAATTTGAGTTAATGAAGATGAAGGGGGAAGAAAACATTTAAGATTACACTGATAAGCTGATTAATCTAGTGAATCAGCTTAGGCAGTTGGGAGAGGAGGTCAGTGATAAAAGAATTGTGAATAAGATTCTTGTGAATATTCCAAAGAGATTTGAAGCTAAAATATTGTCTCTAGAAGACTCCAAGGATTTAACTAAGATTACTATCAATGAACTGTTAAGTGCATTACTTGCTCTAGAGCAGAGAAAAGCACTCTGGAATAATGAAGCCCTCGAAAATACTTTGGTTGCAAAGACCAAAGGCTTAAGGGTGAAAGAGGAGAATACAAAGAAGCTTAAAGGCAAAGGGAGCAATTATGGTGAAGGAAAGCAAAGAAAGAATCATGAGAAGTTGTCTCCATGTACTCATTGTAAAAAGACCAATCATACTCCTAAATACTGTTGGTTCAAGCCTAATGTGAAGTGCAAACTATGTGATCAGTTTGGTCATGTACAAAAATTCTGTAAATTCAAAAAAAACAGTGAAGAAAAAGCATTAGTGGCTGAGCAAATTGAGGAAGCTGATGAAGTGTTGTACATGGCTAACTCGGAGGCTGAGTCAACTAAGAAAAGTGTTTGGTTATTAGACAGTGGATGCTCACATTATCTTACTGGCAATGAGGAACTATTTTTTGAGATTGACTGAAGTTTTTCAGCTCAAATCAAAATAGGGAATGGAGTTTTCCTGAAAATACTTGGGAGAGGAGCTGTGGCTATGGAGACATTCTCAGGTATAAAATACATCACTGATGTTTATTTAGTTCTTGAATCAGATTAGAATTTGCTGAGTGTTGGCCAGTTAGCAAAGAAACACTATGCTTTGTTTTTTAAAGATGAGGTATGTATTATTTTTTATCCATCTGGTGATGAATTATTGACTGTCAAAATGAAAAATAATTGTTATCCCCTAAATCTGGTGAATGTTGAACATGCTACCTTTATGAGTGAGGATAATGTTGCTGAATTGTGGCATAAAAGGTTAGGCCATGTGAACTATAAGTCACTCATAAAGATGGCTGATAATAAGTTAGTTAAAGGTTTATCAGGTGTTGGTAAAGTAGAAAAATTATGTGAGATTTGTCAGTTTAGAAAGTAGAGCAGAGGATCTTATCCTAAGCACAGAAGCTGGTTTGCAAAACAAAAACTTGAACTGGTACATATAAAACGTGTGTGGTCCTATGAAAACACCTTCTCTAAATCATAGTAGATACTATATGGTGTTTATAGATGATCTGACTAAGTTTAGTTGGGTTTATTTTTTGAAAATGAAGTCAGAAGCATTGAATAAGTTTCGAAGGTTAAGGCTCAAGCAGAAAATTTTTTTGAGAAAAGGATTAAGATATTTAGAACTGGTAATGATATTGAGTATACAGCTCTTAAGTTTAAGAATTTATTAGCTAAGCTGGGAGTGAAGCATCAGCTAACTGTAGCTTATAATCCTCATCAGAATGGAGTTACAGATAGGAAAAATAGAACCCCTGATGGAAATGGCCAGATGTTTAATGTTTCAGAAAGATATGCCTCAAGTTTTTTGGGCAGAAGCTGTGAATACAGCAAATTATATTTTAAATTTGACCTATTCAAGAGTACTTCCTAATGAAACAGCTTATGAACTATGGCATGAGCAGAAGCCTAATGTTTCACATATGAAGGTTTTTGGTTCTACATGCTATGCTAAAATACCAGATGAAAAAAGATCAAAATTGGAACTTAAGGCTATTCTGGCTATTTTTCTTGGCTATTGTGATTTGTCAAAAGGTTATAGGCTTTATGATGTGAAGTCAGAAAAGATTTTCATCAGTAAAGATGTGAAGTTTGATGAAAGGCAAAAGTGGAATTGGGATAGCAGAATTGTGCAAGATTCTAATGTTATAGTTGGTGCTGTTAATGATTAGAAGCAAGGAGGTGATGATGAAGAACTTGATTTAGAGGATGAAAGCTTGGTTGTAAGAAAGACTAGGTCACTTGCAAACATCTATGAAAGATGCAATTTAGCTTTCACTGATCCTGTTAGCTTTACAGAAGCTCAGTCTGATAAAAACTGGAGAAACGCTATGGATTCAGAGCTAAATATGATTTTGAAGAATAGAACTTGGGAGTTGGTTGACAGACCAAGTGGACAGAATGTAATTGGAGTTAGATGGGTTTTAAGGACGAAGTTAAATCCTAATGGCTCAATTAATAAATATAAGGTAAGATTAGTGGTGAAAAGGTATGCACAGACCTATGGTACTGATTTCTTTAAAACCTTTGCACCAGTGGTCAGGCTTGATACTATCAAACTTTTAGTAGCTTTATCAGCAAGGGAAACGTGGAAAATATTTCATTGAGATGTCAAATCAGCCTTTCTAAATGGACTATTGAAGGAGGATATCTACATTTCTCAACTTGAAGGTTATGTAGTGCAAGGTTCTGAACATAAAGTCTGCAAACTTGTTAAAGCCTTATATGGACTTAAACAGGCTCCTAGAGCCTGGTATGAAATGGTAGATGAATATTTCAGAAACCATGGGTTTAACAAAAATCTTACTGAGCCTACTCTTTATGTTAAGGGCACTAGTGATTCAGTACAATTGATAGTGGCCTTATATGTGGATGACTTGCTGATTACAGATCCAGATGCAGTGTGTTTACAAGAATTCAAAGCATAAATGAGGTTAGTATTTGAGAAGATAGATTTGGGGGAGATGTCATACTTTTTGGGAATGGAAGTTCTACAAAAATCAAGACAAATCTATTTGCATCAGCCAAAATATGTCAGAGATTTACTGAAGAAGTTTAATATGGAAGGTCGTAAAGCTGTAGACACTCCACTAACTATTGGAATCCAGTTAAGCAAGGATGATGGTTCAACTAAAGTAGATAGTTCACTATATAGTAGTATCATTGGTTCTTTGTTGTATTTGTCAACAATAAGACCAGACATTATGTTTGCTACGTGTTTGCTTTCAAGGTTTATGCAAGCTCCTTTAGTGATTCACTTTAAAGCTGCTAAGAGAATCTTAAGGTATGTGAAAGGTACTTCTGATTTTAGATTGATTTACTTGAAAGATGAGAGTAATGGTATTCAAGGGTACACTGATAGTGATTGGGTAAGATCTGTGTATGACTTTAAAAGTACAGGAGGATTCTGTTTTTCACTAGGAAGTGCTGTTTTTAGCTGGACTTCAAAGAAGCAAGAAATTGTAGCTCAGTCCTCTGCTGAGGTAGAGTATATAGCAGTTTCAGTAGCTACTAATCAAGCTAAGTGGTTAACAAAGCTGCTATTGGATATGGGATTTGTTTAAAGGAAGGGAACTGTTATACATGTGGATAATCAATCAGCTATTGCTATAGCTAAAAATCTTGTTCATCATGGTCGTACTAAGCACATTCGAGTGAAGTTTCCTTCCATTAGAGAGTCTATTAAAGATCAAGAAATTGAGCTTGTTTATTGTCAAACCAATGAGCAATTAGTAGATATATTTACTAAGGGTCTTAACAAGAGAAGGTTTGAGTTGCTTCGAGCAAAGTTGGGAGTTCACCAGATTCTAGATCAAGGAGGTGTGTTAAAAGGATGATCTGAAATTAGTGGAAGTAGGCTGGAATAGTTGGGAGCTAAAATAGAAGCAGTGGCTAGTAGAAGTTATAAGTAAAAGGTCAGAACGCCATTGTTTCACAATCATTAAACCAAGAATTGTGAAACGCAAGTTTCAAAATTCGTTTTATGTTAATGATCTTTTTCTTAGTTTCTATATGACTTGATTCTTTGTTGTTTTAGTTTCTTGGTTTTAAACGACTTGTAAACTTGTCATTTTGGTTTAGCATTTTTGCCTTTCTGTTGAGACAGTTGTCTGAGTTGTTGAGTTTCTCGATCAGTTGAGTTTGTTATGTGTAGATCCTGAGGTTACATCTAAGCTGGGGGCAGTTTTTTTTTTTAATTTCAAAATACTTATACAAATACTCAGTTGAATATGAAAAGTTTAGCCAAATATTGAAAAAT